TGTAATTCTGAGCACTTTTGCTCCAAAGGAGCTCTGAGCTCTGCAGTGCCGGGGCTGTGCCGTGTCCCTCGGGAACAGGCTGCACGTCCAGCCTGCCATATGCACTGCATTTGTACTCCATTCATATTCCATTCATATCCCACCTGTTCCCACCTGCTGGGCAGGAAAAGAAAGGCCAGGCTGAGAGGAATATATTGAGGGATACCTGCCGTGCCACCTGGCTCTGCGGCTCCCTGGAATTTGCAGCGCTGTGGGAATTTGGGGAATAATTCCCGGCGGGAAGGTGGGACCCTGGCCCTGCTCCTCACCCTGCACAGGTTTCCACCTGCAGGGTGAGCTCCAGGCACCCCTGGCTCTGCAGCGCTGCTGCTTTGCTTCCTGTGGGTTTCCTTAACTAAACTCCAGAGCAAGGCGTTCCTGTGGATACTGGAATTTGGGATTTGAAGGGAATATTCTGTCGAAGCAGGAGGCCCAAGCTGAGCAGCAGGCACGTTTTGGGAGGTGCAGGTGATGCAGCCAGGCAGCCAGAGGTCAGATTTCCGTGGAGGTGGTCACTGATGCTCAGGTTTCAGCTGGGCAGATTTCTGTAATCGTTCATATTCCGAGTAAGGGCTTGATCTCGTTTTCACAAAGTCGGTGATAAAACTCTTCCTGAGCTCGACAGGACAATTTCTATCTCTAAATGCATATGTTACTGCCTGAGGAATATTTATCTGCTCCTGGGAATGCTGCCCAGCAGTGGGGAATGCTGCAGTGGGCCCCATCAATCAGCCCTGCTGGGCTGGGCTGGAGGTCACTCAGCTGCTGCTGGGGGATTTACACATCTGGAGGTGGGTCAGGAGCTGGGAACAAGCACCAATGGATCAGAGCAGAGAACAGTGCTGCTGTCCTGACACTGCTCCAGGCGTGCCTGAGCCCTCCCATCCATCTCCAGCTGCTCCTGGAGTGCTGTTGAGCCAGCACAGGCAGTGCTGTGATCCCTGTGGGATGGATATCCCAGCCATCCCTGCCCTCTGGCACCGGGAGCTGTTCCCTTGTGCTGCCCTGGCAGCTCTGAGCCTGTTGGATCCTTTAGGGTGCTGCCGAGTGTTCGGCAATTTTCCATTTGCTGCTGCGGGGAGAAGCGGGGCTGGCTGAGGAAGGCTGGGGAGGGATGCTTGAAGTGTTTTCAAAGGTCCTTTGTCCCCTGAAGAGTTTTGATCAAAACCCTGACAAGGTCAGCTCTTGCTGCAGTAGAACCCAATGCTTCAGAGTAGGAAACAAGCAATGCTTTTATCTCCTAATTTCAGACCTGTCTTTGCTCTCTGCGGATCTGAAATCTCCAGCTGACAACACAGACCCCCAGATTCTCTCTTACAAATGCTGTGTTTAAAACAGATGACCTTTCTTCCTATAAGTATGCTAAATTATCTTAAATTGCCTTTTTTTTTTCAGCCAGATATTTTTATCTTCTTTGATTTTTCTCTGATTAGCAGTGACCATAAGCCAGGTTAGCAGCAGAACAGTTCATTAACCAGTGCAAGAAGAGATTTATATTTTTATTTAACTGCTGTTAGTAGATCAGGGAACCCAGAACATTTAATAGCAAGCCAGTACCTCCTTTTTCAAGTTTGTAGTGGTTTAAAGAGGTGCACACTCAGCAGCCAACACTTGGTTCTGATGTGTGTGTTGATGGGAAATGTAGTTCATTTTTATGTCTTCCCAGGCATCTGATTAGAAAACATTTTGAGGGTGTATTTCAGAGGAGAGAGCAGACTGAGCAGTGCTTCATTCAGTTTGAACTTTGTGTCTTGGAGGAACTTTTTCACCCAAACTGCTAAAAGTTGTGGCTGAAGGGTTGTTTGCTTTTGAGGCAATTAGCAGTTTGAGAACCTCAGTAGCCTGAAATGAGCCTCTCATCTCCTTTAAAGCAGATAAGTCTGCTAAGAAAATTTGGGAATTAGCAATCTCAGTGAGAGGTCTTCCTCTTTTCTCAACTAACTGTAACAAATTTCCAAGTGTTCAAATAATTATTTGTTAACTTTTTACACATTGGATTCAGATTAAAGGACAAAATATTCACTGCAGAAAAGCAGCTTCAGCAAAAAGAGCCACATAACCATAAGGCCTCCTAATCAATGAGTCGCAGAGAGGTTCTAATGGTCTGATTTATTTGGAGAAAATCAGTTAACTTGTACAGTTATCTGTCACTTTTAATGCTGCTCATTTACAGGAGTGTGGAGGGAGTTTCTGTGAGACCAGATGAGAATGAAACATTCCTGGGGGATCTCTGGGGAAGGAAAGGGGTTTGGAAAGCTCAGGGCAGGTCTCTCCTGAGCTCTTTGCAAGACATTTCTGGGATTAAAGGACACCTGTGGGCTTGGGCTGTAGAGCCTGGGAAGGAAAGGAAATAAAGACAGCACAAGCTCCCTGAGATGTGCCAAAGCTGGAGTGTCTGTCCTGATGTGCCAAAGGTGTCTCCAGGGCAACCCAGTCCACATCAAATCAAAACCAGTCTGACACTGGGAGTGAACTGAGAAGCAAACCAATAGCAGGAGAAAGGCAGAGACAGAAAAGGCATTAGAATTCGAAATTAAATCTGGCCTCATCAACAGATACAATTAAAATGATCTATGGAAGAGATTAGCCAGTAAATAGCTGTCAGCCATATGGCTGAAAATAAAGCGTAAATAACTAAAAATAAAACCTCAACTGTACAGAAATAATCTAAAACTCCACTTTTTCTGGGTTTCCTGGGGCGGCAGAAGTGTGGAGGGAGGGAAGGAGGGCAGAGCCCGGTGGGGCAGTGCTGGAGCACCGTGGTCCTCCTTGAGCTGCAGCACAAGGCTGAGCTCGTCCTGCTTTCCATTGATTGGAATTATAATGCTTGCCAAGGGCACCTTCAGCTTCCAGACAGTCCCTGTTGTTCCTGAAGCTCTGGAATTGCTAAAAGCAGCAAATAATTCCTGGGGAGCTGCTGGTGCTGCCCAGCTCGTGCTGGAGGCTGGCGTGGCCACTCCAGCCCGGGTCTGATGCAGCACGGGCGCTGATCCGAGCCCACGGAGTGCTGAGGATGAGACCAGCAGCTCTCCACAGCTCCCTTCCAATTACTGAGCCTCAGCAACTGCCACAGAAGCAAATCCGTGGCACTGGAGTCCCTCAGAAACAAATGACAGCAGTGAGCGCTCCTGACTGCGACAATTTGGAGAGCATCAGCCAGCTGAGAAGCTCCTGTTAATGTCAGTGCTGCTGATGGGTGAAATATCACCTGTGTCCCTGCTCTCTGCCAGCTGCCCTGCGGCTTTTGGGCTGCTGCAGGGCCAGGGCAGGGAGAGGTGAGCCAGGACAGAGGTGGGTGACTGCTCTCAGTGCATGCTGTGCCATCTTCCTCCTCCTCCTCCTCCTCCTCCTCAGCCACCCAGGCTGTGCCATTTGTGGCAGCAGGTCTGTGAGCCCGAGTGTGCCCACCAAGAGCCTGTGGTACAGCAGAGGACACCCCCAGCAGCTCCCAGGATGGGCTGGGGGCTCCTGGGTGCTCCTGGACACCTTGCCCAGCACCAGGGAGCCCCAGGGTGAGCTTCCTGCTGCGTTTGTGCCTTGGCTCAGGCTCTTTTCAGCTGTGTCAGGGCAGTCTCAAGGCTCTTGATTCCCTCACATCACTGTCAGACACAAAATGATTTACACAGATGCGGCTCAAAGTGAGATGAAAGAAGAAGAAAGTTTATTAGTTCTTTCAGTATTTATAGGTTTTTGACAACAACCAGTCATTGGATAGTCAGGTCACCACCCTCCCAACCACACTGGCTGGGAGAGACATCCATTAAAATGTATATCTTTAATGGAATGTATAAACACCTATGTTTATAATTACTTTCCTAGGAAAGTGGCTAGAAATTATGAAAACAATATCAAAAGGTCTGATTCTCAGGGTGACAGCCTCAAGCCTCCCCAGGAGGGAAGTGCCCCTGAGCCCTCCTGCAGCAGTGCCAGAGCTGCTGCTGAGGCTCTTTCCACCCCATTTCCCAGTCTGCTTGTGCAGAGCTTCGTTGGCATTAAGGATGCAGGAAGGCTCCTTCATTTTAGTGAAACTGGGAAATAATTGAGCAGGACAAAGCAGGAATTAATAAAAGATTTTCCATGCAGGTCTGCAAGTGGCTGAAGGTGAGAAAGCAGATTGTGCTGCAGGATGTGATCCTGGGGAGGCAAAAGTGTTGCAAAAAGAGGTGATTTTAGGGTGGGAGAAAGGTTTTTCTGGAGTCTCCTTAGGTGATGCCTCCACAGGGCACAAGTCATTGGTGTTCCAGTGGGATTTACTGGGCAAAATCAGGTTTTCTGTGTTCACTGACTTAGAGCAGAAAAAAAACCAGACCATAACAGGAGGCAAAGCTCATTGAGAGAACAGGGGGAGCCTGAAGTGCTCTTGTTCAATGAGAGAGGGTGGGGATGACCCAGGAATTAACATTCCATCCTCACCTGCAGGCTGCCCTCAGAGGCTGCAGATAACCCCCTGTGCAGGTGGGGAACGTGGGGACTGAAACAGGACATTGTAACCTGCAAGTGCCACTGCAGATAAACCCCTGAGTTCATCTGAGTGATTATCTGAGAGCTTGGCAGCGTGAAAAGCCCTCATCCTGCTGGGGAAACCTCGGGAATGGAGCACCTGCTCCAGCACATCTGCCCGGCAGCAGCTCCTGCACCACGCCACGGAGCCAGGGCAGCACGAGCTGCAGGGGTTCTCCTGGACACAGGGCTGAATGTCAAAGCACAGACACGTGGAAAACCTACACCAGCTGCTGATGTGTAAATGAAAGTCAGCCCCGAGTAAAGACACGGAAAACTCATGTAAATGATTCATTCAGAATTTATGAGGCGCGTCCGGAGAGACTCACGTCAGCTCCCTGCGCAGGGCAGGGCTGGCTGCTGCTCACACCATCCATAATTAATGCCCACTCAAAAGGGTTTTTTGTTGGCTGAAAAGAAAAGATAAATAAATAAAGCTCCTGTGCCTGCTGTCTTTGCAGAATCACCGTTTTGGATGACGGGAGCCTGCGCATCGTCAACGTCACCAAATCGGACGCGGGGAGTTACACCTGCGTGGCCACCAACCACTTCGGGACAGCGAGCAGCACGGGCAGCCTGCTGGTGAAAGGTGACTAAAACCATTCTTATTGTGGCTGTCTGGGGCACAAACTCCTGTTTGTTTTCATTATTCCTCCTCCAGGGCCGGATTTCGGCGTTTCAGGAATTGCGGGTGCTTTTTCGTCTTCTGTCAAATGGTGTTTTCAAAAGGAAAAGCTGTGATTTGTCAGAGACATTTAAAGGAATAATTTGACAAAGATATTTAAAGGAATCATTTGAGATAAACAATGAGAGGCACTGACAAATGTGTTGAATTAATTTTTGCCCTGCTGATGAGTAGTCCAGGGTCTGATTAATTATTATAGGCCATGAACATACAGGTTATTACCCTTGCACTCACTCTCTATCTCCTTCTCATTTGGGGAAAAATCTATATTGGATAGCAAATCAAGAAACATTGATTACAAAGTGATGAATCAATCAAAAAGCTCTAATGCTGTCAGTTTTAATTCTCCCACACATTGGCAGTGATGGATCATACTCAGTTACAGGCTCTCCTTGTCAACTGTTTCTGTGGTATATAGAAAATACTTAAAATGTTTCAGTGTGGGTTTTAATCCGTGTTTTTTATAGCTGGAGCATATCCAGAGGTGTCTTCTGACCCCAATCAGTCTGGTATTTTCTGAACCTTGTAGGGAAGCAGGTGGACCCCAAAAACTCTTCAAGTTTGGGGTTGTTTTGAGTCCTTTGTGTGGCATTTGCCCATGCTGGTCCCTGAAAACAAGAACAGAGACAAGAGCAGCGTTGGGTCTCTGTAGGAGCTGATTCTCCCTTTTCTTAATCTGTGTTGTCCTAAGAGGTACCTGCAGCAAACAGCCAGGAAAGGGAGCACGAACATAAAAGAATTTACCCAGCCCCAATCCCATCCCCAGGGACAGCACAGGGGGGTTCCAGCCCCAATCCCATCCCCAGGGACAGCACAGGGGGGGTTCCAGCCCAAATCCCATCCCCAGGGACAGCACAGGGGGGGCTCCAGCCCCAATCCCATCCCCAGGATCAGCAGCAGGGGGGTTTCCAGCAGCAGGGTGGGATTCCAGCTGTCCACATCTGGAGCTGTCCTGGTTTTCCACCTGCTTCAAGACCCCGAGGGGGAGAATCAGGAGCTGCAGTTCAGGGACTGCTTCTCCCACCACAAAAAAGCCAGCTGGTGGAAGCAGCAGTGATTGGGTTGTGTCATTCCAGAGTCATGGTTCTGTAGCTCCTGGCTGATCCTTCCTCCCTCGCAGTGCCCAAGGAATATCCTGTAACTCCCAGGAAAACCTCGGCAGCTGAACCTGACCGCTGCCTTCCCGTGCTCCACAAATCACTCCTCTGCACACTGAGGTTATAAAGGATTAGTGAGGGCTTTTTTCCCCCTCAGTGCTCTGTTTTGACTCCATTCCATTTGCATTAATGGCGGTGACACATGTGCATGAAGCAGAGAATAAACTCTTAAGCCCAAGACATGGATATTAACAGCAAACTGAGAAATGCAATTTGGAAGTCTGGCCCATAAAAAGTATAAAAGAGCAGAAACTATTCTGAACTCCAAATGAACTGTGTAAAATATTGTGTTAGAGAGTGAAATGCTTGAGTTTCTCTGCCCTAAGTAGAACAAGTGTGAGTTTGGACAGAAATATGAGTGAATTCCTTATTTTAACTCAGTTTTGTGGTGTACAAAAAGACTAATTTAACAGCTGATATGGTTTTTGACCTTAAGATATGCTTGCATTCTTTTCTAACTCCTCTTGTGTCATTGAGTGAAAAACTGTGAAGGTCAAGACATTTTTTCTAACCTTCCTGTGTTCTTCCATTAATATTGCAAGCTATCCTTATTTATTGTTTTTTTTTTTTTAAATTTCCTTTCTCAGGGACAGATGCCGACAGTGTCAGAGACAGTGTAGGCAAGGATGGGAGGAGGAGGGGAATATGTTCCACCAGAAGCAAGGAAGCTTAAAATAACTCTCTGGCAAACAACCAGAGAGGGATGAATAAATATTCATTTTATGCATGAGTAGACAGTTTAAAAAATATCAAATCCTGACAGGTGCCCATAGGGCTGGGTATTAACATTCTGTTGTCAGGCTGGGTGAACCCCAGTGGTTTTCTGAACCAGTGCAGTTGTGCTTTGGGTCTGTTCTGTTGGCTGGTGCTAAATGAGAACCTCTTGGCCTCCAAGACCTGAAATCTTAGAAACTTGCTTGTACAGTTTGACCTTTAAATTAAAAAGCAGGATTGAGTTTGTAAGGCTGGAGAAGCAGCTCCTTCTAAAGCAGTGTTCAGAGCTCTGTAAAACATGGTGTGTGTTTCCATGTATTACATAAATATTAATTTTCCATCTTGTTCCTTCATTTTTTTCCTGTACTTGAGGCTAAATGTTCAATTCTTCCAACACACAGAAAGATTAGAGGCTCTCTGAGCACCAGGGGATTAAATGACAAATAGAGTAAACAGGCACAGCCTGTACAATATGAGTTCATTTGTGTTTAATGCAGTGATATCAATGGCTGATACAGCAGCAGGCTGCAAGAGGAAGCTGATGCCAAGGGTTTGCAATAAAAGCTGTGGATGTGGGAAGCACCAGGAGAGGCTCCTGTGCTGATATCCCAGCTGAGCAGGCTGTGGGAGCAGCACCCCAAACATCTGCTTTGGCCTCAGCTGTAAATCCATCTCCATATCTAAATACAGCAATTCTAATACAATTTAATTTAAATTTCTCTCTGAATGCTTGGTGGAGTTGGTGCCTCCCATGGGGGAGTGCAGCAATTCCCTTCACATTGGCACATCCCTGACAAGGGCAAGTTCCAATGGCTTTATTTGCCTCTTTAATTACGATGCACCTTTAACATTTTCCGACTGCTGTGAGCTCCTCTCATTTGGGCTGTCATGGGAAGGCTCAAGGCAGAAAAAGCAGCAGAACTTTCACTGGCTGGAATCTGTATCACTTTAGCAGGAAAAGAACACAAAGATAATGTCAGGAGGTTATTTTTTCCTCACGCTTGAATAGACTGATAGTCTTGATTTTGTCCAGCACAGTGATTCAAATTATTTCCTATAAAACAGCACATTTTTCATTCCCAGCCTATTCCTCTGTGTGAACGTTGAAGTGCTGCATTGCAGTTAAAATTGATTAAATACTGTAAATTCTGGCCCATTATCGAGTAACTTTTCAGAGACTTCAGATGTCGCTGCCTTTAAACCTGGAATTCTTGCTGTGTTTGTTCCATCCTTTAGGACACAGAGTTTGTCTTCTGCAGAAAGTGGCAGTGGGATGTGATGGCCCCCTCTGGCCACCCATGGCTGTCTCTGTTTCACCACCACCTGATCAGAATTCAAACTTCATTGTTTGGAATTTGTGTGGTGCTTGCCTCGTGTCCTTAGGGTTTGGTTTAGGTTTTGGGTTTTTTTTAATCAGTGAATTCCAGTAATTGTGAATTTCACCAGCTGTTCTCAGCTCTGTTGAGTTTGAAGTGACTTGGGAGTAACTGGGATATCAATTCCTTGGAGTGGGACTTTAACTTTTTCCCCAAGAGCAAGAATAAACCACACATTAAGGTGTTGAGGGTCTTTTTAACATGAACCAAGGGAAAACAACAGCAGCTGCTGAAATGTATTGACCTATTCCAGCACTGTCCACATCCCCAGGAGCCCTCTCCAGACCTGCCTGATTTTTTCCCCTTTGTTCCTATGGAAAAGCAGTCCCAGGAAGCTGCTGCAGGCATTTTCCATCCCACCCATCCCTATTCTGGGTTTAGTGGTTGTCATTTTGCAACACGAGTGGCCCCTCTGTCACTGAGCTCTGCCTTGTTCCTGCAGGGCTTAAGGTCATGCAAAGTCTTTATTTTTCTCTCCTCATCATTCAGCATCATCTTAAATTCATGTTGGTTATGCCTCAGCCCTTAAGGAAGGGACCTGCTTAAGTGACACCTGCAGTTGAAAGCACAAAATGTAATTTAAAAAAGAGAGGCAGAGTTTAAAGGAATAATCCCAGAGCAGCACTGGAGGGTTGTCCATATTTTCTGAGCTTTTTGTAATTTTCCTGGATAGCACTCGAGGTTTATGTTCACCTGGTGTCAAAACCAAGATAAAGATTCAACTCTGAAACCATCAAAAGAAGTTTCCTTATTCTTAAATTTTGTTTTATCATTTGCTGAACACAATTTTTATATGTAGTCCAGCCACGAATGAATATTCCTTATCAGGTCTAATACGTTGGGGTTTTTTTAATTTCATGGAGGAAAAGTCAATTTAGAGTATGAACTTGTACTCCAGAATCTCTAAATCAGGGATTTGTAGGCAAAAAAAGCTCAGAGTGCCATGGAGTTATGAAGGCTCTGATTTATTCATGAGAACATGTTATGTATTCTCCTGTTTAAGTAATAAAACTTATTTCTAAGTTAGGAAAAACCTTTCTTGACTTCTGAGTCACAACCAGCAGCAAAGGCTTGATTTTCACAATTGACAAGGAAAGCCATAATCTTTGGCCGTGAAATTGCAAAGGAAAATATCCCGCTCTAATTGGGCTATTTCCACTGACACCAATTATTTCTAGGACACAATTAAGGCTCTTTTGCTGGGTTTAAGTAAAATTATGACCCAGAGCAGTGCGTGAAAGGCACGATTATAAATGAGAGAGCTGTGCACTCACATCTGCCCTCCCTCCCTCAAGCCTGGCAGTTGCTTTGGGTGCTCTTTGCTGCATCTCCTTCACCAGCCCTGGCTGGGAAATCCTGAGCTGATGATGGAACACGAGGTTTAATCAGGATTTTATCCTTCCCTGTCCATTCCAGCCCAGGCTGCTGTGTGATGCTGATCCTCATGGCCTGTGCAGGTGTGAGGGGCTCAGTCTGAGTTCAGCACTGGCAGCTGCAGCTCTTGTTGCACCTAAGGCTGGTAAAGTCTGGTTTCCCTCCCAGCTCTGTCCAGGTGAGGACCTGAGGTCGTCAGAAAAATCAGTTCAGCCCCAGAGCAGCCCAAGGAAATCGCTGTGGATCCTGCCAGCACCCCTATTTTTCTCACAGTTAATTGAAG